AGCCCTGGGCGGAGCCCAATAACTTCAGGAACTCCTTCCAACAGTTCGAGATGAATTGGACACCTCTGTCTGAGATTATGCATTCAGGAACCCCATGTAACCTGTAGATATGTAAAATAAACAGTTTAGCCAACGTTTTTGCAGATGGAATCTTCGAACAAGGAAAACAAATCAGTTACCACCCAAATAACTGTGTTTCCCCCACTTTCAGGTAATTCCACTATAAAATCCATAGAGATTTCCTTCCATGGAGCCATTGATCTAGCCACATTTTGTAGTAAGCCTGCTGGCTTACCAGGGGGCCATTTGGCAGAGGCACAGATAGAACAACTAGCTACATAAGTTTCAATGTCCTTCTTCAAAGTAGGCCACCAAAATTGCCGTTTAACCAAGTGTAAGGTTTTCACGAATCCAAAATGACCAGCCGCTTTAGAATCATGAGCTTGCTGTAATATTTGGCCCCTCAGTTTCTCTGGCACGTATAATTTGGCTCCCACCCATGCCAATCCATCTCTAACTGTACAATTATTTGAGTGAGCAAGGAACCAGTCATCAAGTTTTAGAGCATCTCTTAATTGTGCAGTCAAATCATTCGATAATTCCACCCCCTTCTTCTTCTTTTGGGCTCTGGTAACCACTGGAGCTGCCAACTGTTTGGTGGGGACAGTCGGCCGTACCACTTCCTGGTGAGCACTATTATATTGAGGTAGTCTAGATAGAGCATCCGCCATGAAGTTCCTCCCCCTGCAATGTACTTCAATGAAAAATTAAAGTGTTTAAAGTACTGTGCCCAGCGACCAGTACTGTGTTTGGGGGACAGCTTCCGGGGCGTTTTCAAGGCCTCCAAATTTTTATAATCAGTCCACACCTCAAATGGGTGTTTTGCTCCTTCAAGAAATGTCTCCAAGTTAACAGGGCCCAGCGAACTGCAAAAGCTTCTTTTTCCCAGACAGCCCATCTCCTTTCAGTTTCAGATAATTTACGGGAGGTATATGTGCATGGTTGTAAAGTCCCCATCTCATTTGCTTGCAGTAACACCGCTCCAACTGCTACGTCACTCTCATTGGCTTGGATCACAAAAGGAGCATCCATGTCTGGGTGCTTGAGTACTGGTTCAGCAGCAAACAGTCATTTCAGCTTTTCAAAGGCAGCTTGACATTCCATGGACCACTCCAGTGGCTTACTAGGCTTTGGTTTCACCTCCCCTTTGGTTTTTAGGAGGTTTGTGATAGGCAGTGCTATCTTCGCAAAAGCCAGGATAAATTGTCGGTAAAAATTGGTGAATCCCACGAAACTCTGAAGTTGTTTCCTGGTGCATAGAGGGGCCCATTCCAACACAGCACGAACCTTCCCTGGATCCATTTCTATGCCCTCATGTGAGATGCGATAACCCAAATAGTCAATTTTCTCCTGATGGAATTCACACTTGGACAATTTTGCATACAGCTTAGCGGCTCAGAGTTTTTCCAAAACTGACCGCACTAGTTTCACATGTTCATCACGAGCCTCTGTGTAGATAAGGATATCATCAAGGTAAACCAAAACCCCTTTGTTCATGTAACACTTGATAATTTGCATGAATACTGCTGAGGCCCCCTGTAGGCCAAATGGAAGAACGTTGAATTGGAAACAACCCATCGGGCAGTTGAAAGCATTCATCCCCTTCCTTAATTCGAACCCGGTAGTATGCTTCTCTCAAGTCGAGCTTCGTAAAAATTTTCCCCTTGGCCAGGTGGGTCAACATGTCCTTCATCAAGGGGAGGGGGTACACATTTTCCACGGAAATAGCGTTCAGTTTTCTATAATCAACACATAAGAGAAGGGAGCCATCTTTCTTTTCACGGAACAACACTGGAGCCGCTACCCGGGGTCTAGCGGGTTGGATGAAACCACATTCCAAATTCTTATCGATAAATGACCGCAGCTCTTCTAGCTCCTGCAGTGTCATCGAGTACAACTTCAGTTTTGGGAGTTTCACCCCGGGTAAAATTTCAATACTACAATCTGTTGAACAATGGGGCGGAAGCTCATCCAAGGCCTTTGCACTGAATGCTTCCTTTAAGTCCCAATATTCCTCTGGAATTTTCTCCTCCCCCTTCAGTTTCTCGGTACCCGTGGAGGCCAGTTCAGTGGAATTCTTGAGTTTCGGTTGGGATCACCCCTCCCCTTCCAAGCGCTGGTCAGTACATATGTGCAATGACCCCTTCCTCCAGCCAACGTGGGGGTTCCATTTCTGCAGCCAGGGCAATCCCAGTATTAGTGGCCGTTCCATCCCAGGGGCCACAATAAAACACAGTCTCTCTCTATACTTCCCCATTGTCATTTCTATGGGTTCCGTTATGAAACGTGCAGTCCCTCCCCCCACCACTGATTCATCCAATTGGCAAAAGGCTATGGGCATTTTTAAGGTCTTTAGTCTTAAGCCCCTTTTCTCAACTACTTCTGAGCTGACTACACACCTTATGCACCCAGAGTCTAACAAGGCCAGCATTTTCTCTTTGGCTCCCGATGTGGGTACCCTTAACTTCACTGGAATGGTCATAGGGCCCTTGTTTGGACTTACCAGTGAGTCATCTTCCGATTCAAATTCACTCTCTTCAGAAGAGGTTGGAGTTCCCAGCTCCTCTCCTTTCAGAGGGGTGACCTCTACAACCTCGTCCACTTTAAGCACCGTTTCGTGAGGCTTCGCTAGGGTTTTTCCAGGTCTTTTTCCTCCTCCTGGTGCCCCCTTTAGTTCCAACTTGGCCCGGCAATCTGCAGCCCAGTGACCTTCCTTCCCACATCGGAAGCAAGCAGTGGTCTTGGGTTTTGCCGCCATCCCTCCCTTTTGGGGTTTTAAGGCTTCTCGAGGATGGGTGGGGGAGGACTTGCTCCAACCAAAACCCCCGACGTCTGTTTCGGGTTAGATCAATTTCCATCTCTGCTGCCAGCACATACCACATCTGCAGCTCATTGGGGTCTCTTCTGGCAATGCAGCTTTGGTATACATCTTCATTTAACCCATCCTTGAATACTTCTATCAGGGGTCCCTGGGACCAGCCTCGAATATGACATGCCAACTCTCTAAATTCCTGGGTGTAGTCGGCCACTGATCTCCGCCCCTGATTTATGGTCTTCATCCTAATTCTAGCCTTACATTCAGCAAGTGGGTCTTCAAACCTGGCCTGCAGCGCAGTCATGAACAGATCATAATTCATCAGCTGAGGGGCATGCAAAGTCACCATCCACTTTGCAGCTGTTCCCTCCAGAGCCCTGGTAACACATCTAACTTTGGCTACTTCTGAGGAAAAATCCCCTCCATATTCCTCCATATGGCTCCAGACTTGTGCCAGGAAAAATCCTAACTCCTTGGGACCCCCCCCTCCACCATACTTTACTTCCAATGGAGGCACCTTTGGAATTCTACATCTTCTGGCAATTACTCCTCCCGCTGGGGGCCCCTGGGCTGCTGCTGCCTGTTGCGCTAGCTTGGGTTGATTTATGGGGGTGGTGCTCTGCTTCTTCTGGCTGGGGCTGCCTCCCCCTCCTCTCCCTCATAACCGTTGTTCAGTTTGAGGTTCTCCGATAGCTTCATTTAGAAGATGAATGGCTTGATTTAGTAAAAAGTTCTTCCTTTCCTTCTCTTGCCATGGCTCTTCTCTTCCATGCTAAAGGGTAGTAGTCACTCCTGGAGGAGGCTTTTCCTCAGGATCCTTCCAGCCGACTCCCATTTGGGTTTTACAGCTGGTTTTTCACCAAGACTTAATTCTTCTAACAAGTCAGCTTTCCCTGCCACCTCTAACATCAGGGAATCTTGTCCTCCAGTCGCTCCCAGGTCTTGTTGGTCACTGGCTGGATTTGACATTGTGTTCAGACCCCCTTGGAAGAAAATTTATTAATTCTCTGGGTGGGCTGGTAAAGTGAGATTCAGAATAATGTCAGTTGGTGCTCCACTCAAAATCCAAGAAAGAAATACTTAAGACTCCATTAATTAGAGAAAAGATATCTTTTACTGGAAATCAAGTGGTAGCAACAAAAGAATTCTGAATCTGAGAAAATGGGTGCATAAATCACATATACAAAGTAATGGCAATGTTCCCACCCTTAATAGTTCAAATGGTTCTTCCAATTAAAAGTTGTAAATATCATCATGTGGACATCTCATGTGGTGATGAGGCTTCTGTCCATTGACCTTGGCATAGTTTTAAGGTTTGAAGCTGTGCATAGCATAGAAGAGAAAGCTAAGCAAGGAATAGAAACCTAAGCAAGAATGTACTCCCCCACCCTAGTTTATATAGTTCTAGTTTGTAACACCTCCAGCTCACTTCCCATAATTGTCCCCTCTCCTCCCCCCATTACTTACGACAGCCAAAAGATGCAAAGCAAAGGGAGAAAATCTTGAAGGCTGACACCAACTGTCTGAATTTTGACCACATGACCATTGGGTCATGTGAAAAATGGTTATTAATCACTTTCTTGATGATGTTGTAACTTTGTTACAACAAATAGTTCATTTAGTGACTAAATGAACTATTGTAAGTTGAGGATGACCTGTATTAGGACATAGGAATTTCAATAGCAAAGTGCATATAATAGTTGTCTGATTTATAGCAAATCACTTTTTTGCAATCTGGCAGAAATGGGTTTTCTTTTTGCAGTTTAATTACTATTTTTCTTTTCCCAACTTACTCACTTTTCAGCTGAGCTTTTCTTTTTAAGTAAACCTGCTTCTTATTTTTTTTAAGAAGCATGTAATAAAGTACATAGCTCAAGGAGATAAAAATAATAATTAAGAATAAATATGCTTATTTCTGCCAGGTTTCTAACTAGTGACATTCTACATGCAGGCAATATGTTACTGAACCTCCATTCTTTTGACTAAAACAAACTTAAGGGGGACAATCTTCAAACTGATGGAGTCTCAAAATACTTTTTCTGTCATTACTGGGGGAACAATAACTAAAAAAGTGTGGACGTTAAAAAATATTTCATTTTGAATGTTAATCTCTGTGTTTCAACAGGAAGGCTCTGCTTAGTCTATGTCTAGAGAATGCAGAACTCAAGGAACAAATTGGAGAAGCAAAGTTGTCAGAAGTTTGGGAGAAAAAGGAGGAAAAGAAAGATAAAGAGGACTTGAGGCAGTGTATCAAGAAACTGCAAGAGAAACTGTACACTTCAGATATTGTGATTGGCCTCCTTAAAGAACAATTGACTCTAAAAAACCAAGGATGTAAAGGTGCCATCATTCACCAAATGACACCTAACACAGCTCTGATAAATGAGCAAGAGCAGTGCACTTGCCATGCTGTCTGTGACCATTCATCGTTGTTGCATTGCTCACCCAATCAAATTATGGGCAATCCAGAAGAAACCCAGGTATGATCAGGTTTAAAGAAATTGATTAAACTAACACCTGCCATCATTAATTAGTAATGCCTATTCACCTATGGGTCATACTACTCTTTGGTCTTCTATATTAGAAAAGTCTAAGTTTCGGCCTCTGTGATTAGTTGCAGCTGCTACTCATAGTCCACCTCTGGGGTTGCTGCTATTTTCTATCATAGAGAAGTAAATTATGGTGGTGTGAAATATCCCAAATAGTCAGTGAAAACTAATTACGTTCAATAGCCATGAAAATATGGCTGATTGTGGGGAAGGGGATTTGAGTAGTGATCAAAACCACATATGCTTATTTACCAAGTTCTACTTGTAAACAAAAAAGCAGTGCAAATTAAATGCAATATACTTTTTATAATAATTTAAAACAGCTGTGACTGCTGCTTTCTTTAGCTATGCCTATTCTGTATTATAACCCACCTGAGAGAATATTATTTTTTTTATATCCCATCTCCCTCACAGAGTGACTCTGGACTGTGTACAGTAAAATAATAAAAGAAATAGATAGATAGATAGATGATAGATGATAGATAGATAGATAGATAGATAGATAGAGATAGTGATAGATAGATAGATAGATAGATAGATAGATAGATAGATAGATAGATAGATAGATAGATAGATAGATGATAGATAGATAGATAGATGATAGATAGATAGATAGATAGATAGATAGATAGATAGATAGATAGATAGATAGATAGAT